TAGTACCAAGCACTTACAACAAAGCACTATTTTAGCAATACATGTCACCCTAGTACCAAGCACTTACAACAAAGCACTATTTTAGCAATACATGTCACCCTAGTACCAAGCACTTACAACAAAGCACTATTTTAGCAATACATGTCACCCTAGTACCAAGCACTTATACGAAACCTAAATAGCTTAAAACATCAGTAAGCACCATTCACATGAGAACTTGTTTATGCTAACTTGAATGACCCTGTGGTGAGGTACTGTAGTATTAATTGAAGTCTATTTTTACCTGATGTGGATGATGCGGATGTCTATAATCAGCCATTAACGATGGTTGRCTATGTGTCTGCATTGATGGTCTCGAGGATTGAACTATGGGAGTTGTAACAAAGATCTTTTGATCGTTWGGACCATCCTCTTCTTCGATCTCCATGGCATCGCCTACGTAAAACACAATRTCAATACCATATAATAATRCGCTCTAAGAGCGCGTACTTGRGWTACACCACCTTTTGGAATCGCAGACAAAAGTTRCGAAAAAAMGTTACTACAAGAAAACACTGCTTGTRTTTGTGCGTTTCAAAGTGTTGAGAAGTACACATCGTGCATGATGGGAAATGATTCAATCACAGCCACGTACCGTCTAAACACATACTACTACAAACACGTACCCTTGCCGGCCGTGTCCGAYGGTGGGGGTGGTGGAGGGGGAGGTATACTTGGTGAGCTGGATGCTGTACTTGGTGATTTCGATGAACTGGGCGAATTGCTTGGATCTGAAAAGAGAGTAAATGTGTTAGCATATAGCTGATGTTGAATGTACAAGCTTTTCAAATCTTAGTCAGTTACGGATAAGTCACATGCTCTGTCATACACGCTGATAATAAACCAATCAAAAAATATAGTGAATCAGTGAATCGACCATTACAAACATTAAGTATCACTCACTCACTCACTCACTCACTCACTCACTCACTTGATCACTCTATTTACTGTAAACACTTCATCTACCCACAATGCTTACCACTCATCAACTGTTCAGAAATAAGCGCCGCTATTTTTTTCTGGTACAAAGAAACCCCAACTTCTTTCTTTCGAACTCTTATCGAGTTCAGTTCAGCCTCGTACAAAGGCGAGTGTGCCACTTTATTCATCTTAAGCCGATTCGCTGGGTATCGTTCATCTTCGTCAGGACTGACTGGTTCTACTGACGGCCCATTTGTACTATCGGTCTTGTTAATTTGATGATTAGAGGTTGAATTACTTGTGGATGATGGTTTAGTTGGTGTTGAAGATGTCGTTAACGTCGTAGAGGTGGTGCTAATACTAGATGGTTTWGGTCCATCTCCTGATAACCGTTGTAACGACCTGTTACGATATTCCAATAACGACACCTGTGGATTGCAATGTTATGGGTTAATAGGGGATACAGTAAAGTACAGTACAGTACCCGCGTATAAGAACACCTATTTTGGCGGTTCAGGCTGATTTGGTTCTTATTTAAAGGGTTATAATCTGCAAAATCAGCCTGTAAATGTTCTTAATTTTTTTTTCTAAAAATAAGGAACATACTAGGCTTCCAATAGATGAAATCAATGTAACAGTACATATTTTTATTTTGTTTAATATTTTGTTGCATATAATTGGAGTGGATCAATTATGTGTGCAATGAAAAGTAGTGTTGATCTTTGATATGTTTCCATATAAGAACAACTTTCATTTTTCAGGCTGAATGGTACTTYATTTCCTAAAATCAGGCCTGGGTGTTCTTGTTCCASTTGTTCTTATACGCGGGTTTTTACTGTATATATGCTAGGCGTATAAGGCATATATACAAAAACAAAAGGGGGGTATATACAATAGTATGAGAGTCGTATACATGCATCAGTACTTTCAGAGAACAATGCGTCCGCCATCTTGACATTGGCTTAGAACCTTTTAATTCCTTTAGGAGTTATAATTTTGTGATTCGAGTCCCACTTTTCAAGATGGCGCACACACTGTTCAAAGTACTGATAAATGCAATATGGATAAATGCAATATGATGCATACCATTAAACAGTTTAAGTGACTATACCTTTTTCTTTCCCGGCGTACCCGAACTTACATCACTGCTCTGCGTGACACTCGATGCAGGTGTTGAAGTAACTGTTGTGGACTGCGCGATGGACGTAGCTTGAATAGAAGACGATGGACTTTGCTGCCTTGGATCACTAGTCCGTTGTATTGCTGTCGTACTTATTATAACYKGTTTTATATCTGGYGTCGTATCAATTGTACCTTTGCTAATACWCSCTTGTKGTGAGCTTGACTCGACRGGACGAAAYAATCCCGCAGGCGACAACGCTCTAGTCTCTGATATTGTCCGTATTGTTCTTGAATCAGTTTGAGCCACCGTAGGACTTCTACTGAATTGCYTTTCAAGTCCAGATTTCATGAATTTGTTCGTCTCGTTTGTAGAGTTCGTTTGGCTAGTAAAAGCCTCGTTTGGTTTTGAWTCAATCGTAGTAACAACTGCGTTTGYGRCTGGATGACTAACAGGAATCTTCGTGKTGGTATTCGAATTTGCAATCCTTAAATATCGCTTCTTCAGAGGAAGAGGCTCTAAAAAAATTATAACAGTTAGCAAATGTCGCATGCTTTGGAAAATTCCGTATATTWTTTACAATTTCGCTACACCTTTCAAAAATCCTGCGATGCTATTCTAATCTAGTTTGCAATWAAGTCAAAGCCWGTAGTTACCTTTGTACGTCGCCGTTGGCTTGAGATTGACAAGGGTTGTCACTTTGGGTTTATCCGGAAAAGTCAAATTCCGTACTCCGTTRACGGGCCTACCAACCCCAACTCCATTTTGACTGTTCAAGAACTTGTAGAGCCATCGCTGAGAATGAAAACGCCATTTATGAATGAATGAATTGATAAACAAATGTGGGTGTTATGACTTCCGCGGTTTTATTTTGAGGACTCATTCTGTGATTTCCTACCTTTTTCAAAGAGCAATAAAGTGGGTTTGTTCGTGTTGATCGTACCCCGTGAAGCATGGCCGCTAGCGGACTCCCAGGCGCAGGCCCAGGACTACGCGCACCGCTGAACGTAATGGAAGGACAACCGTTCATTACACTCTCGGAGCTTGTTGGTGATGCTATAACACAACAAACAATAAATATATATAAGAAAAGCGCCAAAACAGTTCAGGGATCAATCATTATCACTCACTCGCTTTTTCACTCTATTTACAGTAAACAAAAAAGTTGACAATCATGCAATAATAAGTAAATCATAGGGCAAGAAAATTGAGAGAACAAACGAAGACAAGTAAGACAGTAATGGCTTTACCTGATGAAGAAGGACAAGGACTAGGAGTATTGCATTCACTTCTCGACACATTACTAATTTCAGCCAATCGAACCGACAAATCTCGACTGATATCCCTTTGATGGTTCAGAGAGTTATCACAAGATTCTTCAAATCGTCCTGCTTCAGATTCCTCCATTTCAATAGCCATAGCAATATCACTATTACTGCTGGCAGTGCTAAGAGTTGGTTTAATGTCAGTCTCACTCTCCCGAGGACTACAGGGAGAGGTTGGACTCGAAAGTGTACTAGTTATAACAGCATCTTGGCTGTTTTCGTCCATCTTTCCCTTAGGAAATCTAAAATTCCTGCTCGGTGACGTTGAAGGAGTTTCATTGGGTGATTCTTCTGGGATAGTTGCCACTGGTTTTGGTGTAGTTGGAGTGGATGCAGAACTACTGACCTCGTCTGGAGACAGAGGTTCAGACGAACAACTTGATACTCTAGCTCTTTTTTTCTTTAAACTAGAGGTTCCATTAGATCTTCGTTTGTGATTAAGTCTCTTAGGRCAYCTAATCCCYTTAATATGAGGTTTGACGCCCTCGTCGGACGACACTCGAATAACTTGGCGATGCTCTTTTTGAGGTTGCTGTCTCTTCTTTTCTTTCTTTTCCATTTTTTCGATTTGTTTGACGTAAGCTTCKAGCTTTCTTTCTTCTCGGCTAAGTTTCTTTCTCCTGCTTTCWCCGTCATTTGATTTATCAAATGTGTTGTCGGCATCGGAATCGCTGTCCCCCTGTGAAAACACAGAATAGCGTTACATATCTAGTCAAAGCAACAAGCAGCCATCAATCTATGAGTAAAATACAGAAATAAAAACAATAAGAGTTTTGTTTTTCACAAATTAGAATGAAAGGAACAAATATCAATCAAATAAATGAAAACAAAGTTTGGTGGACATTTTGATGCAAGAAAGGAAGGGATCCATTGAGCAATAATAATCATTTACCTGTACGCTGTTTTGAGATGACATTGCTGCTCGGAGTGGAGAAGCCATTAGCGGATTATGGCTTGAATTACTACTATCATCACACAACCTATGTCCATTTTGTTCTGCGATGCTATTGAGCTCTTGCCCTGACACTTGACATTTTAACTTGTACTTGGCTACTGCGCATGTATCTTGCGCGCAAGCACATGATAACGAGCAGTGATAATCAGCAAATTGGAATTCAAATGGTATGGTTATTTCAGCACCTTTGGGGAGAGGGTTTAGAGAAAACACTGCTAGATAGAGCCTGCCATTTTGAAGTACATGACGGACCTGGTGAATCAAGAAAAAGAATTATTACAAATGGTGATCATCACTAAATATCAGATAATATTTCACAATCAAGAGAATACCACGTAATGACGGTGATAATGTCGTTGTTGGTKGTGATGATGTTGTTTTTGATGATGATGCTGATGATGATATTGTTRTTAAAGATGATAAGGATAATACTGGTCGTGACATATCACTGATTACAACCATGGAATAACTAGTACACACCTCAGCATTAGGCGAGCAAGATCTTCTGATAAACCTTGCTTCATTACCAAACACTCTGGCATCAACACATATCTTTGGGAAGTCCATACATTGGTAGAATATCACAAAGGGAATGTACCTAACAAAAACAACATTCATGATATAAATATGGTTGCTCTGCTATCATAAGATAATATTTCTATTAATGATAATTATTCTATTAATTCTGGGCGTAAAGGTAGTTAACATACCTTCTAAACATAGGATTTTCTTCATCAAATTCAGACCCAAACATCATTTTCCCTTTGAATTTGATAAGAAATTGGTCTTTGTAAAGATCTTCAGTGGCAACCAACCCCTGTAAGGAGCAAGAAAATGATGTCAACTGAAGGCATTAAGCTAGCAAACATTGACGAGAAAATAGATTAAAAGAGAAAAGTTGAGAAAGCAAGAGAAGTGTACCTTAGTATTTTTCTGGACTTCAACTACTTTACAAAACTGTTCTATTCCATCTGCGATGCACCTTACATGGTTAGTCTGTTAAATATAACCAAATCATTAATAAATAATGACCTTATCTGTAACTGGAATGATGGACCATTGTTGCTGCCATAACTTCCAGTGGACTATGATTAATTAAAACTGACTACATTAAATGTGTGCAACACTTTCCACTATTTACTACAAAATAGTGTCAATTAAACAATAGAAAACAATAGAATTAGCATAATTAGCAGTATTTAGTGGTATTTATGTTGCACAGTTTTAGTGTTTGTACTCTATCATTATCTATTTTGGTTATTTTCGTAGAGCATCTAATAAGGTGCTAATGGTGTCGATTTTAAAGCGATACATAACGATAGTCGTTTGCCAAGTAGCGGTCCTAGCCATGTCAACTGAAAGTGCTGATCAACAATGACACCAACCTGAGCTAGTTTAGCCATAAACTCCTCCATTGACGATGTGTAAGTGCATTCCTTTGCTTCTTGGTAGTAGTCAACCCTGTTGCAGCTATTTTCCCATGGTCCATTGGTTTCCTCATCAACTGTGCACACAAATTAGAATTGAATGTTAATCTTACTATTCAGACAAATATAGGATATTACATGGGTGCSCGGAGATACAGATTTTATCTTCGAGTGTTGAAAAGATCTCTCACGAGTGAGCGTAAGATTTTCAACACGAGAAGATAAAATTCGTATCTCCAAGCGACCATGTAATATTCTGTTTATCATATAATTACATATGAAAGCAAACTATGTCATAAAATATATTTTTTCCAACTTTTACTATATAGAGAAACCTTGAATGTGTTATTTTCACTAGTGAAAATATCAATTTTACGAAATAGAGAAATATAGGTATTTCATAGATAATTATATGATAAAGATTGATACTAGATAAATATACTGCAACTTACCTGGAATAAATTCTGTAGGAATTCGTTGCTTTGAGTATTCTTTTCTCTGAGAAAGGAAATAAAAACCAAAATTTCAGCAAGTGCTTTACTAATTATTTAAAAACACTAACAACAATATTAATTATTGAAAATCAAAGAAGTGTTACCTTTCTTCTCTTAGTTTTCTTCTCCTTTTCTCTCTCWCCCTGTAATGATGTTAAAAGTTTTAATTCACCAACAAAATGGAATAATGAATTGATGGAATGATTGAGTTGGCTGGATGATTTATTTATGAACTAAATGATTGATTATTTGTAGAGAAGTAGTTGTTTGCCATGCCTTGTGTAACAATAATAATTTTAGTGAAATACTTCTTAAGGCATAAGATAACTTTATTCCAAACGTTTTGCCTTTTCAGGCTTCATCAGTTGACATCACTGACAAATGACTGACATAAGAATTGATGACCGACTGTCTGTTCATGTGAATGATTGATTGATTGACAGTCAAATTATTGACATAATGATGGCCTGATAGATAGACTCTTAGTTTGATTGACACTTGAACTGTACCTTCATTTTAATCCCTACATTCTTTCTCTTTGTGTGGCTAACTTTTGCTGTTAAGGTAATTCTTGTAGGGGTATTTGAAAATGCTGTGTATGTCGTACCATCCGCTTCTTCTCCACTCTCATCATCATCATCATCATCATCTACAAATAAATACAAATCAAAATCAAATCAAAGCTTGATAATTATCACTCATAATAATAGTCCAAAGTAGTGAATGAATGAATTTTGAGTAAATTTAGAAAACCCACCACTCATTTCTTCYTTCTTCTTCATTTGAATCCCTTTAGCGCGTTCTCGATCTAAAAGCCTAAACATAAACCAAYAGAAAGACATTACTATCATAGTGAATTTGAAAATACAGCGTTATAAAGTAGTCATAAGCTCACCTTGGTTCACACTGTTCACATAGATAATTGTCAGGTAAAGATTCAGAGCTTATTCCCATGCACTCAATATGCTGCCAAACACTACAGAATAACACTACATGTTAGTATAACTTCCTGATATATTTTTTCCCACGATATAGAAATTTTAATCTCTTTCAATAATATTATTGGAGTTACTAATGTGGTTAATCAAGGGTTATTAACAGAGTTTGAGTACTKTAGGAAGTAGTGTGTACATTGTAAGAATAGCCCACTCAATGCCCTTTGTTTGCCTTGACTGAATAGAGTGTTTGCTTTAATGGTGCCTGATTTTTATAGTTTACCGATCTAAATAATTTTGATGTGCTCAAAACYTTAATTCAAAATTATTAAGAAGACAATATATAACAAGGACGTAACATGAATACATCAAGTGTTTAATAAGGATTCTTAGACATCTTAGTCAAGAGATGTTTCCCATTTTTCAAGTCTAAGTTTTTACCCAAAGTAAATCTACACTTTTACGGAGGAAGAGCCACCAAGTGGATTTTGTAATAAACCATTATTATTACATGTAGAATGGGGTTTTTATATTAATTCTTTACCTGCATTTGTCACAGCAAATCATGTAGCCATCATCATGATCAAATCCACTGTAAAATAAACCAAATTATTAGCTSAACACAAGGCTTAGTTGACATGATTTGCTTWACAGTATTTCTACAAAAACATCAAGGGTATACAAAACAATGCCGGACACTTAGTCACTCTAAACAACACAAGAGAGTGCATAAGAAAACAAGTCTACCTACCATATACATCTTGTAACAGCATTTCCCTCGTCTTCTTCATTACCAGTGTCAAGGTCATCAGGGCCAGGGCTGTTGGAGTCAGGGGGTGTCATAGGAGGGGGTTGTCCATAGTTATGGTCCTTAAAAAAAACACACACTTTCTTACAAACATGCCTTTATGTTGCAAACAAAAGTCTATTTATGGACATATAAACATTATCAAAGTCCTAAATTATATAATCACAACAGCCTAGAGTGGAAGACCAAAAGAAAACAATGAATGTCACGTCTACTAACTATAAGTTTTACTATTCTATAATGGTCAAAGCAAAACAAGTCAATACGAGTCATTATTTTTCATGATACAAATTAAATGCTAATTGAATGGGTATTTTTGAAACTAAAATTCGGTAAATAACTAAAAATAGTGACATCCAGTGGATTTTCAAGACAAAGTCTATAGGAAATACTAATAATTAGTACAATTACTCTAAAATTAATAAAAAATTGTCTAAAACKTTTCTTATTATTATTGTTACCTATCTACATGTAGTCTGAATGGTAAATTGTCTGGTACAGAAAATGTGCAAACAATTTGCTTTTAAGAAGTACAATATTCTTAAAAGCAGTTCAATATAAGTACTCCAACTGACCGATATTTTCATTTGACATCATAACTGCAACACTTCAATCAAGGGTCTCAGACTGAACACTACTAGAAAAGAGAAGTTACCATCACTTCAGACGAGGAAATTCAATTTCAAAATTGAGACATTTGGCAAATGGGTCTGTTTTTGATAGGTGTCAGTTTTGACGAAGATGGTTAAAATGGTAATTTTGACAAGCTTGAGATAATTGAGGATAAAGGGTTAAATTGAATAAAATAGAGACATAAGTTGGTTTCTTATGGGATTAAACTTTAACTGATCACTAGAAAAATATTCAAGAAAAAGATATGCATACACAATTGTATTATAGTACTTTTAATTCAAATACGGTACTCCAAAACCAACAATCAAATCATTTGCCRAGTTTTAAGCATATTCCAAATGGTTTGGTAGGATTACTGGGCCTATAACCTCTACTATACTTTTAACTCATGGAAATTTTGATATATGCACAAAGAAATATTGGAGACAGAACTATTTGTAGTAATGGTTTAATAATTATAAGAGCAGAACATGAAAATTATACTCAACTACAACAATAATAAAGTTATAAGCACTACAGTGAAATTTTAGCAGGTACAAAAAGCAGAAAATAAAGTAAAAATCACTAATTTAGGTAAGACTAATGGCCAAGGATAATACTATGGAATAGCTTCCTGCTTATGACATAATTCTATAAACATAACAAATAATCTAACTACTATGTAAATATATCTAAAAAGGCATTTCTAAGAGATTTTAATTGGGCCTAGTAGGAACACTTAAATCCAACAAAAAAAGCACAAAGAATTAATAATTAACAAAGAAGTGCCTAAGAATGATGTATTAACTGTCAACCAGAATAAACTGCATTGCAGAAATAAATCATTTATCTTTATCTGTTAATATAAATACCCGTCAAAGTCAAGGTGATTTAAATTAATTATACAGCTTTTGGTACCAGTAATGAATGATGAAATAATGTATTCTTAATATAGCTTTCATGTAATTTTCTTAGCTTTATACTAAATCTACTGAAACTTATACAAATACATTTTAGAATGTACCCTTTCCATTGACATCATTCCATTTCAACATAAAGAAGACTGGATTTGTAAATTATACATTATATATTTGAACCGTTATGTTTTTTCATGATGTAGAAACATACAGAACTGTTTATTTTTARACATGATGTGGTAGTTTGGAGATGAATATTCATTGAAAGTAAGAATATCATGTTTGCTTAAACCAGCAAAATAAACAAGCTCAACAGTGTAAACAAACAAGATAATACTTCAGAAAATGATTTTAGATGTTAATCATCCCAACACCAAAGCCTAAAAATGCTAACCTTATAAGTTGATAATTGCTTTGGGACTGTAACCTTAACTAAATCTACAATCTTATCTTGTAAAATCTTCATGCAAAAAGACGAGACATTTATTATCAGTTACTAAGTTTTACTGGTTTAGAAACGTGACTGTTGTGCATGCATAATGAGTTTTATTGTTTATTGTAAAACTATCTGGTGCTGAGTCATAATTACCATCCACATGAAATCTTCAGCCATTGTCCAATAACAAAAGACTGAGTAGCATCAGTGAATGGAATAGTAACTAGGCAACAAGGATTATCAATACTGGCCTCTCTAATCACAAGACCACATTCCAAACATGCTTTCGTGATGAGATCATCATCAACAAATTAATTATAATGCTATTTTATCAAATATACATGTACAATATATAAAAAAATAGTTACAAGCAGTAAAAAGATAATGATTGAATTGCTGGTGTCATGAATTTGGGGGCAAGAAACTAAATAATAATTTTATACACAATTTACAATTTTGTAACAATTATGTATGCTTGACGCAGGGATCCCAACAAATAACAAAAAAAAAGTCCACAGGGAACCCACTTACCAGATATGGGATATGGCTGATCTGCATAATGCTAGGCATTTTGATAGCACGGGATGGCTCAGCAGGTTCAGGACTGAAAATCAACAAAATTGAAATTATTAAACKTGATGAGCAGCCTTATGTTGAATATAACAACTTTAATTTAGGTTTTCAGCAAGGAAATTAAACATATGACATTGTCTTTGCTTAAAAATAAAGTATTAAACTCTGAAAGACATACAAGCAAGGTTTGAATGCTATTAGTTTAGATCATATATTTTTTAAATTGAATTGCATGATCATATGTTGCAAATGATTATTTATGATCATGTGTTCCAAATGCACAGCAAGAGGTCAAAATATTATATTACAACTACATCATGCTGATATCAGGTTAATTCAAAGTCAACCTTATTTCAGTGCTGGTAAAAGTTCTTACAATATACAGCCCTTCTGAACACTAAATGTGAAATTTATCAAAGTATTTTGATTGACTTGGTTTGAAGCCTCGAGAATTGTTCACCAAGCCATCAATATCTCATGTCAAAAGAAACCTAGGGTCCTTGGTTCGGTTATTACATTCTGACTTTAAAATGACAACTCCTCCAAAGGCAAAATTAACTATCCATCAAATTCAAAGCCTTTTTTAAATGTATTTGCCTAGTAGAGGAACATAATAAAATTTGTCATTAAAAAGATTAGTGTTAATCTCTTTGATCATGAAGAATGAGGCAACTTTCATTATTGCTAGTACAAGAATGTACAATTGCATGGCTGATCAAGCAAGGCTTTTTCCATCATTAATATGAAATAAATTTAGGTCTGCTGCTGTGCTGAGTATTGGGAGTATTTCTAGAATGCACAGACTTAAGAGCACAGCCATTTATGTAACATAATCAGCTTTACTCTGGCCTGACCTTGTAGACTTATAGTATACATGACCATTTATAAAATAGGAATTCAAGTTTTACTTGATTAAAGACAGAACAGCATTTTTTCTAGCAGGAGATTGAGGTTATTTTGATACTGTTTTTGTGAATACATTTGAAGTGATATAGCATGTTTAAGCAAGACAAAAATGGCCATGAACTTTTCACCCCACAATTAATGATGTGTAGCAAGGTATAATATTTATATAATGATTTAGTATCGAATCATCTATATTGTGAACACACATCTAAGAACATAATCACTGATCTTGAGCGTGGGTGAGTCTTATCAAGAATATGGTAAAGGAAAACTAATAAAAAAACAAATCCATAAAAATCCCTGTTATTATTATGGGAAGCAAAATGTGAGCCTACCATTACGCTGTCTGAAGTATGGCAAATTGCTTTCCTAATTTCATCTTTATTATTTTTCAGGAAAAGGAAACGACAGGCAATATTGTTGTAGTATCTGACTTGAGCCTTATGAATGTAAATATAAGGATTTGCTGCATACAATCTGAATAAATATTCCCAGTGAATATATTTTAATTACGTTTTGACACCGTGAAAATTCAATACAGGTTTAGATTTATGATGAAATACGGTAAGTGTCATTATTATGACAAAAGGAAATATGTGGGCAGCATTTTCATTTGACTTATTTGTGAAAAGAAGAATACAATACAATAGGAAAATACATAAAGAAATCAGCACAAGAAATAGAACTCAAATCTTCCATTCAGTGTCTTGGAAGCCTACAACTGCAGGATGTGCCAAAACAATCCTTTTCCTTGATTAATAATATGAATCTCGTGGCATCAGCTTTATAGATGGATGAATTGTCCAAGGAAACAAAAGTCCTATCTCTATGTAAACCCACAAGCCATTCATTATTGATATCAGATATAAATATCAGTGGTTCCCATACTCCCAGGATACATATCTGACAATACTTACTCCGTCCCTGCTGTCATGGAGGCAGCATCAGGGGTTCTATAACCCCGCTAAAAACGTCTCCAATAACCACTAGATGTAGCCAGAATTACTATAGGGCCACGCATCTTTACATCGGCTACAACTGGCAAAGAATCCTCAGACCTTAGGAGTATAATATGATATGTGAGGAAGGAATGACTGAATAATATAACTTGTGTGATAACTAAACAAGTTCTCATTTATATGCATAACAACTATAACCAAAGAGGATTGCTTGCAAAGCAGGAGATAAACAACACATCACCAAATGGGTTTATTTCATAAATTCAACATAACAAACATTGAAAAGCTTTGGAGATGGCTTTTCAATACGAAATTCTTCAACAAGTAATTAAACAAAAAAACTCTACAATCTAGAATGAATTTTATTACTGGCTCAATAATAATCAGGTACAGACATTATTATAAGTACAGATCCAGGTGTTAGGGRCTCCTTACTGCATAGAATAGGTAATTTGATTACCTATTTCATTTAAAACCCTGTTCTAGGTTATGGCTTTCATTTAATGTACGATATAGGGGCTATGAATATAGATGAAGAGCCAAAAAAAAATAACATATAAAATAATTGTTACTTCGTTGATTGAAGGTTGGGAACATATCGAAAATTGATGATTTGAGTTGCCTAAGGTAAAACAATCCTTTCAAACAAGATGAAAACTGTTTTAGCCCAATTCAAAGACGGGAGTAATTTCAAATGCGTAATCATCCTTGCACACTCAATAATACAAAAGTGCATTAGCATTTTATGATGAGAGAAAATAGGTTGCCAGTCTTACTTTGTCATTTCCGAGCGAACTACTTGTCGTATAACAAAAGATTTGAATATTCTTCCGATGATTTCTACAAGCAATATTTCATAATTCAAAGGCCATAGGGAACACCCTTGTACATTCACTCAAGATATAATATTTCCCATGCCGTGTTGACCTGGCAAGGACGAGTACGAAAGTAGAAACGGAAAGTATGCCATCAGAAATCGAGCCCTTTATTAGATCGGAGTTCAGATCGCCCACAACACGACAAACAAACAGATTTCCAACCATATAAACAACAGCAATGATGAGAAATTTGAAAAGGATTCAACAGAGTGTGTTTCGAGCGCTAAATAATCGCACGAACGAATCCAAAGGAAACGTAATTAACGAGATGAGATCTAAGCGCGAAAAACAAGATCGCAATCCGCTTTTTTCGGTTATCACGGGTAAGAAAACAACTTCTCTAAAATAATAAATTGAACCACGACATGTAGGTGACGTCTGMATAGTRAATAACACCGAAAATCAACACGAACCCAAGAAACAGCTCTATGAATACATTTCACTAAACAGATTGTTATTAAAATCCATTTCAGCACCGATTCTTCGTTTTAATTTAGATTTCGCTTTTTCCCTGCATATCTTTGTTTATCTTAGGTGTCCATTAAGCACATGGATTCAAGATTTTTTTCGTACAAAACACAAAAGACTGCTAACCACGAGGAGAGAACACGCTCTGCCACACTCGACTTAGTAAAACCATCTAGAATTACAGTTCCCACAATCATAAATTCCACAYTGGTTAATCTACGGGTAAAGGTCTTTTTGACAACAAGAGTCTTTCTTCTTAGRACCAAGCCAAGCGTTTAGATGAATTTATTAATGATATTTATTGAAAATTTTCGTGAAGACAGCCACAGGCCGCTTTCAAGAGCAAAGCAGATGGCTGAATAGAAACATCACTTTAGTCTCAAAATATGACTCCAAATCATAAAACCAACGATATAGAAGACGATAGCAGCAACAAGATTAGAAACTAAAACAGAATCGTCAACTTATCAACTACCATAAACGAAAACACGAAGCAAAACTAGAGATTGAACGAGAAACAAGTGATGAATAAGTTATTTGAACAGGCAAGGGTAAATTTGCCAAGCATTCGCTTTCTCGCATTCAAAACAAAAACTATTCGCCGGTATCAATGGAAAACAAGCTTGAATTCTCGATTATTRTGGGCCTTCAAAGTAGAAAARCACGGAATAATTGTATAAACTCAGCTGAAAATGTCCCACCCCAYAAACTGATGCTACAGCAAATATTCTACGCTTGAAAAGCGTTTTCCGTAAGACAAATATCAAATATACATCACTTTAATCCTTGTTTTTTTCTGAGTTAGAATAATCGAGAAGGGTACTGAAACTAAAAATATCATGAGAGTAAAATGATTGAAATTCTCATCAATGTTAGGTAAAGATATCGAATTTCAAATGTCGACCAGTTGTACGGCCGTCAAAACAAAATGGCGTTCCCTAGCGCATGGAATACTCTTGTTATTGGACATTGCAAGCACATAATACTTTAGGAAAGAAAAGCAAAGCAGATTGTGGCTCTACAAAGAAACCAACGGACAAACAACGGCTTGGCTAACGCGTATCAATGGCGTAGCATTTGTCTTGTGTTTCTCAAAACCCTTCGTACCTAGCGCAAGCAGTACTTGGAAAACACAAAAACCTACCCATTATAATACGTTGTTTCATAGAAAAAGTGTTTGAATTCGAAACAGGAACTTCTGTAGGGTGTAGGCTTTTATTGGGTTGTTATAATGGTGTATTTCGCTCTTTCCGGTTCTGTACCACCGAAATAACACAGCCTAGTACAATGAATTTTTCCAATATTTCCCAAAAGAGGATCTTGCTGATAAATCTTTTGGTGAAACTACGGTTAACTTGAGTCACAAACCATAAAAGACAGGCTTAGAAAAGTGAGCACTTCGTAAAGAGATAGGAATGTTGGATTTCACATGGCAGTTCGACGTTGGATTTGTCTCAGAGAATAGCCATACGTATACAAACTCAATCATCAAAAAATACGCGATTTTTCAATATAATGAAACCCAACATCGACAAATTCACCCATCATCTATTCATACATTATATGAATGTTCTTAAAACAGTCTATWATTCTTCTAAGTAATAATTTTCGTCTTGAATTTTTCGATTTTCTCTCAGACAAACAACACATGTGGACAACACCAGCACCAAGTTGTAGTCAACAATATTTAGCCATTATTATCGAGTAGAAAATATCGTATTTTTGACTTATTATGAAAAACAATGATGCAAACATACTGCGTAACCATTAAGAAAAGTCCTTTTTACGATGGAAAGGTGATATCTTGAAGTACCTACCTTTAAAAGAGGCACGTTTGCTTGGCCAAGTTTCATCGATGTGAGACAACCACACAAATCGAGGTCCAATTGTCAACATGAAAATCCACCAATATCCCTTTTTAAAGTAATATCGTACCCTACAATCCCTAATCTTTCGTGTATCACAGTCAATAGTATTGTATGAAGAGATTTGGACGGTCAAATCCACTCATAACAGTGCTTTACTTTCTTCCATTTGCCTTATACTCTAAACTCAACGAAGGGAAAAATAACGTTGAGTACGCATGCGTTTACTATCATCACGTGATTCATAATACTTCAGGTGACGTCACGCGGGAAATCACACAGGGCAGCGTGGCAGCTCGAACAGAGAACATACTGTCGCGTTGGCAAATTAATTCTACACATTAAATATTCTACACCTATTTCTTTTAAGATATTCTTACTTTACAGACAATTAGGCAAAATAAGATGTAAGCTAAGATAAAAATAATCAACCCACTCTCTGTTCAATCAAGATTTTTATACAGGTCTATAAACGCGCAAATTGAAATTGAGGCGACAAAAACACTCTCAAACTAGTTTCACTTTGCATTTATTGACTTGTACATCCTGTAGCGTTGAGAAATAAAGGACAATCTTAATACAAATATATTACTTGAACACATGCCAATTTTTCGAGGCGCATTTGTTATCATCGAAAAAGAATAGATGTCAAAATAGTCCAAATAAATAAACGAATTCCATGTAATGTTTGGCTAGAGAAAGTAAACGAGTCAAACGTCAAACCATTCAAAGGCAGCAATCACAATACAACACGGATTAGAGACCGTCCGGTTACGAAAGAATGCCCAGAGAAGGGAAATAATACATTGCTCAATACCGGCCAAAACCGGTTTTTCCTGTTTTAAAAACAATTTTCCGTCGCAATCAAAAGGTTTTTGATGGTGTCGTATTTCTTTTCGTAGTCTTTGTTGAACACACTAAATAATACAATACATACTACCTCTACCGTAAAAACCAGCACTAGAAAGTAAAGTCACATTCCTCCTCAATACCCAGGTGTTTTTTCGATCCTTCACTTATCAAAGATTGGGTTTAATGGTCTGTGAAACAAAATTCATGATTTCCTTGCGATGATTTCCACACACTATTGCGATGACATCATTGTCCCTTTCACATATATCCTATATTGAATCCCTTTTGGTCTAATTTTGTAGYATCGTTCTTCAAACATTGAAAATTCCATTCTCGCTAGTCAAACCAGCTAGGCAAGAACAAAACAAAGCCATGTTCCATGCGAACAACACTCTATCAACACTCCCGTCATGCAATGCGCGGCTACAATTACCTATAGTGCTTTGCGCGTCAAGAGCAAAGTGAAAAAAAATCCTTTTTATTTTTTATTCGTTTATTTTTCTTTATTCCGAAAAAAATGGGTGGAAGATTAACAATACTATTTCTTTGAATAATGTATTTTTGATGTCTAATGMAAAAATTAAGATGTCATAATTGAGAAATTTCAGGCACCAAAAAACCATGCAGTAGTTGTCGACACAAAAATTGCGCGTATTCAAACTGATCTTATTTTTATCTAAGCGAAAATCAGAGTGCCAAAAAGACCGCAAAAAAGTTTATCTCCATGATACAAATTTAAAATGTCATCCGCCTGTGTTGGTGAGTAATTGTGTTTTGAACATTTTATTATAGTTCACTTGTACAATTCAAAGTAATTTCGGTTTCATAGTCATTCCGCGCCTATCTTTCTGTAGATCTTCGACCACCTTTTCTTATCACGAAACAGCACAACCTAAAAACAGGAATATCGGAATCATGGAGGCCATTTAATTTCCGGTCAAATTAATTAAAGTTAAAGGCGCTCTGAGCAGTGCTAGTCGGGCTAGACCGGCATATCATACAGATGGTCATTTGTGGTAACGTGGAGAGGGGACGTGAAAGTTTAATAGACATAAAATATGGCGAAATAGGAATAATTTTGTCAGAGAAAAGCTGGCGGGATATGAGAGAGAGCAGAAAGTTTAAGGTTGACTTATATGCCTGACATTATATCTGACGCGCTCCGAGGGCAGTTATATGCACACTTAAGGTCTACAGTCAGCCGTTATGAAAACACAAAATGTAATTGCGCTATTACAAACTGAATGAATATAGAAAAATGACAAGAAAGAGTGACGCAAGGGGTAAAAGTGTGGTTAGTCGTCATGTTACAAAGTGCACACGAAGCTCGAGCATTCTTCATTTACTTACAACATAATGTGTACTTTTAGCTGACTTGCGAAAACCTCCGTGAACCACAAAGTGACAAGTGATGAATTGATAGTCACTCTTCGATTGTCAAAAATATGAATTCATGAAAGCGAAAGTAAGACAAATGTACTCTCGTTTCTCGTCGCAAAGTATTCCAGTATCGCATCGATTCCGTCTCGAAGGATAGAAGTTGACAGAGAGGCAAGAAAAGATAAAAATAGTAGTTTAAGTACTAAAAACCTAATAAAAAATGCAGTAAAAGAAAAGATAGTAAGACGTGACTGGACTCGAGACCTAAAAACAATAGAGTAACTGACACTGAACAACAACAACAACAACAACAACAACAACTAGAACTACAACAACAACACAAATACACTTACAATTACAACAACAACAGCAAACAGAATTGAATAACTATCAGGCACAAACAAACGAACTAAAATTCACTATAGAAACGCGTTACATAATGTTAGATAATAACAGCCCGGATCTGCGCAGGAATATAATATATATACATATTAAACAATTATAAGGTATAGTGACTAGCATGTGTGCTGCAGTTATTTCATTTAAAACATCTGCTACCAGCCAAGCAGTTGAACCGTTGTGGCAATACGGAAGCAGCTACAATACTCACCAATGAACTTTAAGAACAGCCTACGCAATGACGATATGAACATTTATATGAAAATAGATCTGAAAAATTCTGGCATTTCCAATTAAGTGAACACACACGACAAGATAAAAGAATCATGATAGTGAATGACATGATATGAAAGAAGGAACTGTCGAATGTTATTACACACTTTCAGGAAAATATAATGAAGACTGACGAAGATCCATGTATTAGCATAAAAGAAAATAAGAAACAGGAAATAATTAATCGATGCGTTGAAGAATGGATGAATAGATGGATGAATGAATGATGAATTAAGATGGGTAACTTTGCGTTTTATGTGATAAATCTGGATGAAAGGATGGATGGAGCATGTGGAAAAGATAAATCGATATAGCAATAACATCCTATGGCACTGATGCCTTTAATGCAATGTTGAGTTGAGCATTGATGGATGGGTAGACTAAGATGGATGTTGCATAAATCTATAATTTTAATGAAATATGTCATCAATGCATGGCTAACATATAAAGCTAACATATATATATTATGGCCTCTCTTCATGACACTAATCCTGGTTTTATCATCCATACTATCGAATCCCACATGTGATGATATTGTTAATTATATACACGATATAGAACTGCTTCATTTCAGAGAAAGTACGCAAAAWGCGAGTGTTTGTTACAGGATTATAGTTAGCGCACTATTGTCCAATGTACCTCGTTATTTGCTTTTGCTGTATTTTATCAGACTTGTTTTTATCTCTCAGTCGCACGATTATCGTGTCAGAAGACGTTGCACCTTTTCAACAGTTCAGATATCTACTAGTCTTAGAATTACAACAAATTTAAAACGTTACCACTGTTTGAATTAAAAGAGTAATCAATTCGAACTGGTGTATGGGATACCTCAAGTCACTCAAAATGAACCAGACTCTTTGCCTTTTATTTGATTCCTATTTTGCACTGAATTGTTATCGAAAACTTTCACTCTATTTGTTATGACAAACACCATTTGGCGTATTTATATGAGATATTTCTGATATACTTCTGGAACATATGTATTGAYACGTCTGCATTGGACCGCCTCAGGCCATTGCATTATGCTTGACTCAGCGACCGTTCCCTTCTTTTCTGTATTTTATTTCTGACCATCTCCAAATACTGACAAACTCAATCAATTGCATGAAAATCGGATATTTCTTTCACAAATGTTAGACAGGGAGAGAGCTCCTAGAACGTTTTGACCAAAAATGTCATAAAATGTGGTTTGTGCGATATTTTCGCGTATAAAACAAGCATCGAAACAAGCAAACAGCAAGAGGATTGATCATTCATTGTTTACGGAACGAGTGTCAATTTTAGCCTTAAAACGAATGAAACTGTTTTCGAGTGTGTTTTTATGTCATTTTGATCGCGAAACTAAAAGGACGGTAATTTGTRATAAGAAACTGAGCGAGTGTGTTTTCTCTCTTAAAGTTGCGCTTTCTCATACGAAATTTGATATAMATGCGCCTTTCTAGTCTCAAAGAGTGCTTCAGTTGAAGGTGGAGAAAATGCAAAAAAAAAGAGAGAGAAATGAATATCGCAGTGCCTCCCCCCTACTTCAAAAACCAGCCAAAACAACCATGATATTAAAGTCCACTTTTTTTCCAGCACTTAGAATATTTGTTTTACTAAGACAAATAAGCACTAGATTGCGGAGAAAATCAATCTTTTTCGCCTTGATTGCTCTCATGGTTACGTCCGGCTCGCTTCTAAAACTCAAGACCGAGTCACGCACAACTAACTTTGTCTTCGTCATCAAAGTTTATTTGCTGTCAAACACTTGTACACTTTTTCAATATCACTCGACCTCATTCCCAGGTCCTCCACACAAAGAGATGAGGATAGGGAGAGAAGTTGTCACTCCTTTAGATTTGAATGAAAAAATGGTCAAGTTCTGTGAGCGCAGCATTCTGTTTGCGTAGTTCGCTTTGGCGCGCATGTTCACATAGAAATAGTATATGCGCAATTAAGTTTCAAAGCAAAACTTAGCAAAGAAAATGTAGTTTTCCATAAAAAAGAAAACTGCAGCATCATTCTGCCATTTTGTACCAAGTAATAAGATGGAACTGAAATAAAAGAACTTGTCTTCCAGTGACGTGGAAAGAGCTCTCTCGCCCTTAGTCGGAAGCAAAGATAAGATATACTGCAAAATTCCCATTGCAAAAGGTGCAAGGGCGCATCAGGCTTTACAAGATATCCTGTAGATATCAGATTGTTTTCGATCCAACTGATATATGAATTAGGTTCTTGCACAGCTTCTAATAAGCGGAATAACCAAACTAGATGATGTTTTATCATTTTTAGTTTATAAGTAACTTCCGTCGATTTTTGTTCGACGAAATTGTTTTTGTTAAATTTAGTTCATGTTATATGTAAAATATATGGTTGAAGTATTACAATGTAGTATACACATAAACAAATAAATAAAAGAAAATAGAAAAATAAAAAAAGAGGTAAGTAACTGTAGGAATAAATAAAATAAAYCAAACGTTAGGAAAATGATGAAAATACATTTTCATTCTTTTTTTGCCTTTTTCTTTTTCGATTCTTCATCACAGACATCTGTCTAAGGGGGTGAAAGCATAATGTGTCAACCAGTTTAATAGTTACTGTAGATAACTTCTGAAATTTGTTATTTTCCTTGACAACTTCTCTGTGATAGATGAATATAAATATTGCACATTTGACGTAGGGTCAAATATGACGTGATATATCTTATATTTCAGTGCAAGTATATACTAGACTTCTTGTTGGTCTTTATATTGACCGCTTATCTATTATATTACATTCATTTCAAGTTCACGTTTAACTTTTCCATTSGTTTATTTACACATCTGCTCGTTTTTTATCAATCGACCTATATCTGAAAATGTAAAGCATAYTTTTTTGYWAGTTTACCYGCGCAAACAGAGTGCAAATTGAATCCCCGGGAAGGGAGGGGAAGGGGYGATTCCCCTTTRTTCCGTGCTAGGCAACTATTCGTATCCTAGAAACTGTAACTACAAYGTACCACAGTCAATTTGACTCAGATAATGAATTACACTACAAAGTCTACCTGTATTAACTATCATGGAATTCTTGTTTTTCAAGCTGAGCTGCTGTCCATCGAGAGGACATTCATCAATTGCACAGAGATTAATTGCATGTTTTAATAGTTTTTTTCTCATTTTCTGGTGATAAACACTCCATTTAATCTGTCAGGCTACTCAGMACTATTATCTATTACAGACATCAGAGCTCCATCCAGGCAAGATACCCATATAATTTGAATTTTTATTCGGATTCGAAACACGATACAAGAGAATGACTTTTATCCATTGATCACAGATAAACAAAATACTACTGAAAACAAAGCTAATACTGCGAACAGTGACTTATAGACTGATTATTATAAACTGCCTCTCYACAGCTACTTTTAACCTTTCATAAACTGGTTGGTGAGAATCAGCTGCTGCAAGGAGTTTGGGACTCCTGTGTTTAGTACTTTGTGAGGAGAATGGACACAATGTTTTGCCCCTTACCACAGGAAACCCAACAAAAAGTCAACTAAAACAACTGTCATTAGGTACAATTTATTAGTTTGTATTTTTTGCATTTTTAAGACTTTTAGAATGGCTTGTTTACAGAAGCTACATTCTGTCCTTTGTGAGTTCCCTGTGCCACCTTGACAGGCAATCAAAATGAGGCCTTGCAAGAAACACGTGAGAAAACGTCTTGTGAAAGAAGATATGATTCTTTCCAAATGCACTGCGTTCTTGCTTTGAGGTATGGCTACTTCTCAAGATGGCACATGATTAGATACCTTTATTTAAGTAGCCTCATATACATCATGAAACATATACATATATTGTGTTCTTAGATATTTTGGAATACAGTGATACTTCTATTACACAGTCACTCTTGGCCCTTGCCAAGCTGGCCYCTTCAAGGAAGATATAGAGAGTTGGTGCCTTTATTGTGGCCCCTGCTTAATGGGTAACAGGCTAATAGAGGCTCAACTGCTGTTACTTATTTTATAAGCTTTCATTCAGCATATTTAAATATCTAATTACTTATTTCCTATTATATACCCCCTCTCCCCCCCCTTCCCTCATTTCATCATCTTGATTGCACTTACTTTTTTCATTGAAAGTTTACTTTCTTTACAATTTTAATTTGAATATTTTTTTTCATTCGTTTCCATTACTCTATTCTCTTCCTGAATTCAACATTCAATATGTACAGAGTTCATGCAACATTTTCACTACCAAATTCCAGGACTTTTCAAGTACTTATTATTAAGCACAAAAATGTGATTTTCAAGGACTATTCTTGAAGATATTTTTTGATGTTTGCAAATATTTCCGTTAGGGATTTTCAAAAATAACCACATTCAATCCAAATGACAAAAAGCAACATGTTATTTTCAGGAGTTTTCCAGGAGTTTTAGCAGTTTTTCACATTTCACAAGGGCTTTTCAAGCGCCCTTCAAAACAAGTTTTCAATTCCAGGACTTTCAAAGGATTTCAGGAAGTAGCGCGAACCCTGTATGTACAATTGAAACATTAGATTATTATTTTTGCATGACTTGCCTAATAGATTAAATTATTGCTTTTCTTGTAGTCTTGCATTTATGCATTCTGATAGAGAAATATTTCATTATCTATCTACATTTTAAGGTCTATTTTGGACTGCAAGTGACTCAATTAAGTAGAATCTATTGTAAAGATAATATGGCAGCAACTTGATCAAAGAATAATGCTCTTCTTTTCTTGCTTCATAAGATTCTTTTGCAAGTTGAGCCATTGACAGCTTTGAGCTAAGATTTAAATAGTTGGTTTAATCTCTATTTTACACTTGACAGACGTTACAGCTTCCATGCCTTCACACCAATAATTAATGGTTTTCACATGCCAAATTGGCAAGTTTGAATTAAGATTTAGAGGGTACAATTATTTCCCTTTTAGCAGTTGAATGAAGTTGAAGCTTCATTGCTGTCCATTAAAGGAGATTCTTCTTCTATGACAAGCTTAGAACCTTCCCCTATAGCAACTGACACCTGGGGTATCTCGGCATCAAAATTCTTCTCCTCTTGATCAATAACAGAACCAAAATGTGTGTTTATAATGCTTTCGACTTCAAAAAGCCTTTCTTGATCRTCGTCCCCTGCTTCACTATTTGGATATGAATATTGGTGAATCAATTCCCTTTCTAATCTTCTCTTTCTTTTTACTTTTTGAATATGACGCACCTAGAAAAGTGAGGTTTATTGGTAAGAACATGAGTCATATCGGTGTAATGATATGAGGAWCCATAGAGCATATTTTGATWTTGGGATCCCTGTCCCTCTTCTCAGCAGGGATCCCAAAACAAAATTGTAAGTGAAGGAGAAAAGAGAAAGAATAACTGAACAGAATATGGGTAAATGTAATAGTATAATGAAAAATGAATGCATGGATGAAATAGAAATGGGAGAATTATGAATAAATTAACTACAAATGGATAAAAAGTGTTAATAAGGAAAAGCTTGTGTGAACTATAGAAAGCATGCGAGATTGAAAAGTCAACAGACAAATGAATGGATGAATGCATGAATGGATGGACAAACTTCAGAATAAAAGTCAGATTGAAACTCACCATGAAGCAAATGCCAATTGCAAGTAACACAGCACTCAATGGTATTAAAACGTAAAGAAGCACCTTGTAGTGTTTGTGTGAAGAAGACTTTGCATGATGGCGAGTGGGTGCTATTGTTGTAAAATTCAATGGGGAACGACTTGTAAAGTTCATAGTTGATGGCAGCTTTGTTGCAGCTATTTTATCGGAGCTGTTTAGTGACGCATTTAAAACGCTGTGTGAAGTTTCAATTGGAGCATTTGTAGATTTTTGACTGGTGGGAAGTGTCYTTCTACGTTGYTTTGTAGGAATTTCTATGCTGTTGTCTGTGATAGCAGTATAATTTATTTTGACATTTGGAGTCAGGGCATTTGWAGAGTTGTCTTTCAGTTCATATTTTTTGACAACAACAATCCCAGAGGTATTTGAAATYGCTATGTAAACAARCAAACAAACAAATTAATAATCAGCTATACTAATTTATAATCTTTCATCTACTGGCTGCTTCTGTAGTAGCCCTTAGAGCATGTTCAAAAAAAGAAAATAATCAATTCTGACTGTAAACATTGCATCACCAAGAAGCGGAAAGAAACACATCATTTCGATATCGTCATAGATGTCTTACAAGTTATGCMGCGACTGGATTACAAACTGTTCTTTTTGGTGAATGACAAAGCGAATAGGAAACAAAGAAAAAATGTTTTGGAATGACTWATACAAGCGAATAATCTTTTGGAAAACACACACTTGTCATGACAGTGAGCTATAAACAGAAAGTTGAAGCGCCTTCAAAATCAGCAAAAATTAATCCTTACCTTTCACCAAGAAAATCAGGATAAAAGCACGAGGAACAAAAATTCGAGGACACATAATTATAAAATTGAAGACGTTCGAAGTATGGCTCTCTCGATTTCACATCGTCAATCAACCATTACGATAGCCAAAATAATCCGATTTTACGGCAAAAATATTTGAATTTCGATAGGATATTAATGTACTGATCCAGTAGTACTACGACACYTGGCTATAGAGCATGTCATGCATTTTTAAAGGAGATATTCTTGGAAAACTTATTCAGGTACCAAAATGTACTTACAAAACATGCGATCGTCCGATTGAAAACCCACTTGAAGGTCCAGGCTACTCCGCCAAAATTAGCCGCAAAGTAATGGTACTAGGAAGACCGCGCGGAGCTTGAAAATATAGAATTTTCAGTTTAGTAAACTTATGAGYCWATTTTCCTTGATTTRCGCMKTTTTTAGCCCATTTTGTCGCTATGTTTTGTAAATCCATCTCTATATATACTAGAAYTYCAAATATTCGAGTATTTGAGCGTGTTTTCAGAGTAGGGATATTACATTTCTGCCAAATGTCTAGTCAAGAAAGCGAGCCCTACAATGGCAAAAAGCTCCAAGTTATAGCTGAAAAGTGGACAAAAAAACTTAAAAAATACGGTGTACCAGAAGCAGAACTATCGGTAAAGTATATTATGGAAAAGGCTTTAGATATGGTAAGATTTTGTTCATGAATTTGTTGACAAATACATGTACATGTAAAATTACATGTAGTTCACTTGATTATGGGGGTGGGATGGGTGTTACACAAGTAGTGGGTTGGACAATATCAAATGCTAACCAAGAGGTAAGATAGGGGTTAGTAAAATAGGGGTTAGTATTATCTCAGAAGGGAATCTTCAACTCCTGCACCCACCAGCTCGCTACATCATTGAATTGACACTATTATATATTGTTAATAATAATTATTAATATTAAATTAATATTAAACCCATCTAATTACAGTCAGGTACTAATGATGAGAACAAACTTAAACTGCTGTACAATACACAAGTGTCATCGTCACAAGAAAACAGCATCAATGAAATGTGTACACGCAGATTAAATAGGTGTGTTACAGCAAAGCGGCTAAAAGATCCTTATTGGACCTTATTGTCATTTAGTCATATTGATATTTTACAGTTTTTATTATTCTAAAAAACACTCAACAGTGTCATTGTTTTTTTTTTCGGAAATGGCATTACTTGCATTGCATTGTGGTCTTTTATTAATGTACTCATGTACGTTGTTTTTGAACCTGTAGACCACAAAGCAACTCAAGTGATCTAATATTGCAGAAAACGTGTATGATGAAAGCTTTATGTTGTATTTTTTAATGTTACATTGAATTTCCACATGAAAAAAATTGCCAACAAAACTAATTTTTTGTTCTACACAGGGAACCCATCCAGTACATAGTTGGTGAYTGGGACTTCCGTCACATGACATTATTGATGAAACCTCCAGTGTTTATACCAAGACCAGAAACAGAGGTTCACATTATACTTTATAAAAAGCAYATCATAAAACCATAAAGGATATCAAATGTGTTTATCTAAAAAAATACAATAAGGCCCAAGAATTTGTATTTTTTTTCTGAAATATCGTGA